ACCCGCCGTTGCTGAGCTCAGCAAGAGAGATCCTCCGCTGTGCAACATCACAGCCGCCTCCTCCTGCGAGAGGAGCGGGGGGTCAGCTGCCGCTCAACTCCTACAGCATGCTCTTCTTAATTAAAGGCGAATTCTAATTAGTGCCGGAGTTAATTTCATTTTCCCTGGGCCAGCGGTTGCAGCTCTCTCTAATTTAGAAAATTTTCATTTGGAGAATGGGAACAAAAGGGCTGAGCCGACCGGGGGGAGGAGAGGTGGTAATTGTGTCTGAGATCACATACGCACATCTCTGCAGCTCGTAAAAGAGAGAGAGAAAAAAAGGAAATGTTCATCACAAGCTATTGTGTGAGGTACATTCCTAATTTACCCGTCTGGTCGTCTCGAGAACCTGCCTCAACCATTCAACCGTCGTCTCTATTGGTTTTCTAAAAGAACCTGCATTTCCGTGAACATCAATTCTCCTATAGGCAGGGCGTGTCCAATGCTTACCGGAGACGGCAATTGCAACAAAAAAAAAAGTATTTAATGGACAAATGAAAAGTTGGAGAAGAGGTGATATGGGGGGTGGTGTTGCCATAACCTGCAAAACTATTGGGGCTTAAAGGAGACCTACGGGGTTAAGGCTTTTCCCCATAGTTCTCCTTAGGGTAACGGGAGGACACAAACTAGCGTCCTCCCGTCACCCTAGGCTCAGTATACCGCGGTATACTGAGACGCCGCAGCTGAAGCGGATCCCGACAATTGTGCCGGGATCCGCCCAGCTGCGTGACTGACAGCTGGCTCTGCCTATCTAGAGGCAGAGCCAGCTGTACCCGCCCCGTCCGTTCCGCCAGTCAACGCTGGCGGATCGGAGCGGCCAGGGGGTGGAATCCAGCCCCTCCCCTGTCAAGGCAGAGAGACGTGACAGGATCGAGAGGTGATCGAACGCCGGTATGTGTTCCCTTACCTCCCGATCTAATGAGCCGACCTGTGACAGTCTCATTGTCACGGGTCGGCTAGAACTCCATAGTTCTCCTTTAAGAATTGTAGGACAGCCTCTAGGGAATGGCATGGCTGCAAATAGAAATGGCTGACTAGGACCTACCAATGGAACTATTGGCCTGAGTAATTGTGGAAGGGTTGAAATCGGAAGGTTGGAAGAGAATGGGATGGTTGGCGACACACAACTGGTCAACATATACCAAAGAAACTGGAAGGTTGGAAGAGAATGGGATGGAAGAGAATGGGATGGTTGGCGACACACAACTGGTCAACATATACCAAAGCAACTATTGGGGCTGAGGAGTTTTAAGACCGTGTCAAGGCAATGAGATGGCTGGAGACACATATTTGGCCATTTTGTAGTGAAACTACTGGGGATGAAGAATTGTAGGAAGAGCCTCAAGAGTTTGGGATGGTTGGAAAACAGAATTGGCCAATATATATATATATACCGGTGAAACAACTATGGCAGAACAACCTCTACATACCGATATAACTACTGGGACAGAAACCTTGATGGAGAGCCTCAAGACAATGGGATGGTTGGAGAGAAAGACTGGTCAACTTATATATATATGAGAAAAAAAGTTAAAGACAGAAGAAAGTTGGTGGCCAAACAACCAATGAAGCACTCACAAAATGTATTATTAGCCCTCTAGCACTGCTCACTAGTTATGATTCCTGAGTTGTGTTTTCGGAAAAGTCAATTTTACAAGGGAGTGACCCGAAATAATCACTTACCAGTGGTTTTCCCCGCACGGCACAGTTGTCCATGTTCTGCGTCTTCCATGTTATATACTGAAACGGAGAGGAAGAAGTGAGCATGGGGACTGACCACAATGTAATGCTTAGATATACGGGCTGAAGTAAAGGTTCCAGTGAAGCCCATAAGAACCAACCAACCCCAACCCATAACTTGCATTTCACATACTGGACTGGAATGTGACCGATGCCCTGAGTGTAGTAAGATCTTACTTCCTGGCACGGGCACCTCCCGTGTAAACGGGAGGCCATAATGTACTCCTCAGTATACCCTTTGTTTTATTTATTGTTTTAGCTTTTCCCATCTGGGTGACCAATCTAATCCAATTACAAAACTGGAAAACAATTAAATTGCATCTCCGGCCATTTTCTTTTTTAATTTTAATTGGGGTGGGAAGGGTTAGAACACCAGTCAAGGTTTCTGCGCTCTGCCAGATTCACCCTCTCTGTTTGTCCTGGTGACCATGGTGATTGGGAAAACCAAAATGTTATTGGTGTCACTGGAATGGATGGGAAACCTTCCAATGGGGGGGCACTTGTTCCCCTAACAACTGTCTAAAATTTGTTTTCCCCCTTTTGAGAGATAAATTGACCGTTGTGGTCTATGAGCATTACTTAGATTGAGTCTTAATAGTCTACCGGCGGTCACAGCCTCACCTTGTCGCTGGAGATGGCGTCTTTTGTTCTCCTGAGATCGATTGTGTATACGTAATCTCTAAAAAACAAACAAAACAATAAATAATTGAATTGACGTATTTGAGGAAATTATTCTCGACTGTCGGTGATCAACTGGCTAAAAACAATTTCCATTTTTTATCATGGCGGCCATGTTATTCTTAGCTTTCCTTCGCTTGTTTTTCGCTCCCTCTAAATTTAGACACGGTTGTCCTGCGCAGAGGGAAGTTCTTTTTTTTTTTTCCTTTTCTTAAAAACGGGTCTATTTTGGGCCGCATGAGAAGATTGTAATTTATTTAAAGCGTTTCCAAGCCATCCCCATTATCATCTCCTCAGGCAGGAACAGGTGAGGGAAATCTGCATTGTAATTATGCACATTCTCCTCTTGCCGCGACGTTGATGAATCATCTGTGGCTATAGATGTCGCAGAACAGATCTGGCGTGTCAGGAAATAAACGGTTACATACACACTTCTCGGTAAAAAAATGTACTCGGGGGAGGGGGGGCTTAGGTCTGTCTGAGTCACGCATGACCTCCACCTTTTTCAGAAAAGGTCGTGTACACCCATTGGAACACAAATAACTAACTCCAGACTCCATTGATGGGAGTAATTGTAGGTTTTTCTTCAGGCAGTTCAGCTAAAATGTACTCTTTAACCCTTTTTGGTGCCTCAGCCATCAAAGTACACTATATGGCCAACATTTTATGAACATCTGACCATCACAACCTGTATGAACTTGTTGGACATCCCATTCCAAACCCATTGGCATTAGAATGGAGTTGAGCTTCTTTGTGACCATAACGGACTCTACTCTTCTTGGAAGTGTCTGTGGGAATTTGTGGCCATTTATGAGGTCAAGTACTGATGTTGGATGAGAAGAACTGGCTCACAATCTGCGTTTAAATTCACCCCAAGGTGTTCTATCGGGTTGAGGTCAGGGCTGTGTGCAGGACACTCAAGTTTCTCCACACCAAACTCCTCAAACCATGTTGGACGAGAGGACCTGGCTCACAGTCTGGTTCCAATTGATCCCAAGATTTTCAAAAGGGTTGAGGTCAGGGCTTTATGCAGAAAACTCAAGTTCCTTCACACCAAACTGGTCGCACCATGTCTTTATGGAGCTGGCTTTGTACACAGGGGACAGTCATGGTGGAACAGAAAAAGTCTTTCTCAGAAGTTTCCAGTAGGGTTGAGATCTTGCCTCACGGCTCTGTGTAGGCCACTAATAAGCTGGTCAAACAATGTCGTTATACGGCTGGTTTTGCACAGGGGAACAGAAAAAGGTCTTCACCAAACTGTCATGGTGGAACAGAAAAGGTCATTCCCGGACGTCTCCAGTAGGGTTATGGTCTCAACTCACGTCTCTGTGTAGGCCACTCATGTTCCTCCACAATAAGCTGGTCAAACAATGTCATTATGGGGCTGGTTTTGCACAGGGGAACCAAAAAGGGCCTTCACCAACCTGTTACCATGAGGATGGAAGCCTGCAATTGTCTAAAACATGTTTGTATGTTGTAGCATTAACAGAACCCTTCACTGGAGACACCTCAACTCAATCATTTGGAGGGGGGTCCTCATACTTTTGGTCATTTAGTGTATCAGAGGGACAAATTGTCTCTCATGAGTTACTAAATTGCATTGCTTCTGGTTTCTACAGAAAGTGTCTAAAACATGTCTTTCCTTAGACAAATTGACAACAATTTGTAAACCATATGGTCATATGCCGGTAGGGGGACCCATCCAATTGATTGAGTTACAGTGATAGGCACTTTTACCATCTGACTAAGTGACTCCAGCTTGCATTATCCATACCATCTGTCATTTCTCTAGCAGCTGCACATTGACAGTTGACAGTGAAGATCCACAAGAACAATGCAGAGATTATTGAATTGATACATTCAGTAAGTACATGGCAGGCTTATAATATCTGTAGGGGATATTCCGCCACCAGAGTTCCTGTCCATTATGCAGTCCTAATCATCCTAGGGTGTTTCAGCTCTTCTTGTTGCATTCTCCATGAAACAAATTAAGACTGATACAGTCAACTGGGTGAATGAGATGCCTCTGTAATGGCCACGTGCAGACCCAGGAACTCAAGTACTGACCGCTCACCATGGGACTCCAGAGAAATATGAAAAGTTGGGTGAGTAGTATCCAGAATCTACCATCAGCTAAGGTAAGGATTGGGTGGACCAACCCTTTAAACATGCAACACAGCCTCCCGAGAAATATAAACAGTTGGGTGAGACGTATCCAGAATCTACCATAAAAATGAAGGTAAGGGTTGGGTGGACCAACCCTTTAAACATGCATCACAGCCTTCAATTAGATAAAAAATATAATTTCCCAGATAAAATTTTCCAGGAGAAAGTTGAATCTGATTAGCAATCCTCACCTTGCAGCCACAAACAAAGTTTGGTTGAGCCTGACCATCTTTTGGAAGTCCAGGCCGAGATGTGCCGCGTTCTCATCGCTGGCCAGTCCTCGAAACAACGGGTAGGATCTGGTGCCTTCGAAAGACAGATTAAGTATCGTTATTGGTGGTTTTGTCATGAGATGTAGCTAGGGCTCGTATATTACTAGAGCATGCAGGGACGGATTTCCCACAAGGCCATTGGGGCGGCAGGGAGTAAGGGGGGCAGCAGGGGTGTGGAATTCCTATCTCCCGATGCCTGGAACATGCAGTTCCGGGCGCCGGGCGGGTAGTTTGGATTGACGGGGAGGGGGGCACATTGAGGAACTTGGCCTTGGGGCAGCAGAGAGAGTAAATCCGGCCCTGAGAGCAAGATCTATTTTTCAAAAAGTATAAACTTTTTATAGTGGTTTGGATGTATTTTAGTCAATGAGGGAATTCAGAGAAGATGACGTTCTCCAAGCCTTATGAAAATCTTAAAATTAATCCGTCACCATTCATTTTCCAGTTCCGGTGGCCTTTTGTGGAGTGAAAAGTCATGAGAAGTCAGTCTATTAATTCCCTAGAGATATGTGAATTCACTATGGTGTGATGGAGGCAACTTGCGTGTCAAATTCTCATTAAAGGAGAACTATGAGGTCAGTGTTTTTCCCCATAGTTCTCCTAAGGGTCACGGGAGGACATACACTAGCGTACTCCCGTGACCCAAAGCTCAGTATATAGTGGGCTACGCGGTATACTGAGACCGCCACAGTCGGGACGGATCCCGACATTACCGTCGATCCACCCAGCTGAGTGATTGACAGCTATCTAGAGGCAGAGCCAGCTATACCCGCCCCCTCCCATGTTCGTTGCGCCAGTCAGCGCTAGAGGATCGGAGCGGGGAGGGAATCCCTGCGGGGAGCCGTGAGTGACAGTCACGGCTCTCTGCAGGGACGGGATCGAGAAGGGAGCGGGCGACGGTATGTGTTCGCTCATTTCCTGATCTATTGAGCCGACCTGTGACAGTCTCATTGTCACACGTCGGCTCGAACTATGAGGAGGAGTGAAAATCTCTCGCCTCATAGTTCTCCTTTAAAAAGCAACATATTAGTTTAATGGAGGTCCAACTCCAGTCAATAGGTTTCGTATAGCCTGGCGAAGGGTAACAACCTCAATAGGTTTGACCTGTCCCAATTACAAGGCGGCACATGGAAAGGAAGTGATGGGATATCACCCTTATGAGTGCCGGCACTATCTAGCTGGTAAGAGTCCTATCATAGCCTATCATAGCAGCGTTCCACCATTTATCATTCTCATTTCCTGTCCTGGTTTTATCAGACTGACTCCATTCCCTAGACCCTTGGTTCTCAACTGGTGGGTCATGACCCAAAAGTGGGTGGCGACCAGGGCCGGATTTCCCACAAGGCCCGGCCTTGGGGCAGCAGGGAGTAGAGGGGCAGCACAGCCGCCGGGTGGGTAGTTTTTTTTCTACATTTCGCCCTGCTTCGGGCAATTGAGGAACCCGGCCTTGTGGCAGCAGAGAGAGTAAATCCGGCCCTGGTGGCGACCCCGTGTTCAATGGGTCCCCACGTGCCTTCCACTTTTCAAAGTGAAAGGCTCCTTAGCATTGTCAGTTTCGCACCAAGCAGCCATTCAAAATATGCTGCCTGGTGCCGAGTGTCGGCGTGAGGTGGGGTGGGCTCGGAATATGGCTGCGAAGGAGCTCCATCCACACCTGCATTGCTTAACGCTCCCTCACGTGTCCTGCAGAGGTGCCTGGGCTGGAGTGATGTCGCATTCCGGCTCCCGGCACCTCTACAGGGTGTGCAAGGAAGCTATAGAAGTGGAAGCAAGCTCCATATGGATATATGGATGGAGCTCCATCACAGCACGGCAGCCCACACGGCGTTCCATTGCAGTGCAACTTGGGTGACGACTTAATAACCGAGGACAAATGTGGGTCTTGAGGTCACACAGGTTGAGGACCACGGCCCTAGACGATACAAGGGGCACATAGATAACGCTCAAAGGCCAAGAAGGACAGACTATGGTACTCACTTCCTGAATCGATGGTTCTGATGGGACTCATGTCCTTGGGGAACACCAGTGATGAGGACAGTAGACATCTGACGAGGAGAAGAACCACAACAAAAGGCACGTGGGACATTCTTGTGTTTTCCGCGTTGTAGCCGAATGTAGGGTTGGATCTGAGCTTCAGCCGATGTTCATTCTGGTCTTATTGGCTCTACAACGAGAAGACAACACCACACGTGAGAATAATGCAACCGTGGATACGCTAATGCTTGACAACTAATTACATTTCAGTTGACTGAGGAGCCATAGTTTCATCTACAGGAGGACGTTGAAAGTAGGCAAAGGAAGCTAAATCCTTCCTGTGGCACAGTTGGGTAGCCAAACTCCGGCCCTCCAGCTGTGGTGAGACTACAAATCCCATGAGGCATTGCAAGGCTTTGACAGCCACGGGCATGGCTCCCGGAGGCAGAAGCATGATGGAATTTGTAGTTGGAGGGCTGACGTTTGGCTACCACTGGTCTAAACTATGCTGGGGACCTCACAAAAGGTGGAGACCCACTGCGACCCTCTGTTCTTTAAGATTCAAAAAGTTGTAGAAGTTGTCACATAATATATATTTTAGGGGGAAAAAGTAAATTTATGACTTATGTTTGAGGAATCCTTTGGTTCTCGATCTACGTAGGGGGTCTACAGACCACTAGAAGGCTATGGCTGAGATAGAGTTGCCACCTTTTCTTCAAGTGAAACCTGAACACTTTAACGCATTTTGTTTTTTAGAATATAGAGGCGAGGCCGCCAGGGGGAGGGAGTAAGGAGACCGGCTATAAAGGGAGTAAGGAGACCGACGTCTCCAACACAACTTCCTGTTGAGAACTGGAATCCCAAGTGGTGTTGTCTACCCTGCCCAGTGTTCATCTGCTGGGTAACAGAACACCTCTCCCTCTCTTCATCTCCATACCATAAGTTGGGGGGGTGCTTTGTAGTCTAGTTTGGGAGAACTGAGACGGTTTGACCTCACGGCTTGGGAATTGGGGATTGGCGCCTTCACCTGCTGACCTCAACCAGCCACCAAGATTGGCGTAACGTCTACGTAAGCCGCAGCTGCGCCAATACGCCTAGAAATACGCGTGACGATAGAGGAGGTGGTTGGCCAGCGGCTACGAAGCGAACGCGTCATCTTCCACGGTGATAAAAACCCAGCGCAAGCCCCCGGCGGTGTCTTCACCTGCTGACCCCAACCAGCCACCAAGATTGGCGTAACGTCTACGTAAGCCGCAGCTGCGCCAATACAGCTAGAAATACGCGTGACGATAGAGGAGTCGGTTGGCCAACGGCTACGAAGTGAACGCGTCATCCCCCCGACGTCTCCCACGGTGATAAAAACCCAGCGCAAGCCCCCGGCGGTGTCTTCACCTGCTGACCTCAACCAGCCACCAAGATTGGCATAACGTCTACGTAAGCCGCAGCTGCGCAAATACGTCTAGAAATACGCGTGACGATAGAGGAGTCGGTTGGCCAACGGCTACGAAGCAAACGCGTCATCTCGCCCCCCCCCCCGGCGTCTCTCACGGTGATAAAACCTCGGTGGCGTCTTCACGCGACGGCGTCGTTTATCTCCCGATGACACAAAACAACAACTCGTGTCTGTTTTAATTTCGCGCGGCGTAATTTTTCTGTCTCCGTAGACTTTTTAATGCGACGGACCTCTTGAACCGCGATGCTGGGAAAACGCGCGGCGTGATTAATACGAACGTTGATCTAATCTGATATCGCGTCCGGACGGCCTGCGCTCCGTGTAAAAATATATTTATTGCCGGAACGTATCATCGGCTCGCTCTCTCTCTCCGCCGGCTGAGCCGACCCGGGCCGTTTCTCTCTCTCTCGCGCGCCGATCGCTCAGAACAAACAGGAGACAACGGGCGCCTCGGAGAATTCTCCGGCGTGACAACCGCCACTTATTCCATTTGCGGACAGAGAGAAACACGACTTGATGTTTTGAACGTTTAATTATGCATGT